AGCCAGACAGTATACTCTGTACTACTCATTGCAACCAGTCGCCATGGTCTTTGACTAGACGACTACCCCTGATTATCACGGCGATTTATCACGGCAATTTATCACGGTCAAACCTCTGCCGCTCCGAGCTCGCTCAGTGATAACCAACCCCCAACGGCTTTCTGCACCTCTGCCCATCCCCGAGAACCAATCGAATAGTGTCTACAAGCTTTGCTTAAGACACGACTTCAAGGGCTTCTTCTAATCCTGTCATGTTGTTGAGCTGTTGGGGTTGATAAAATGGGGTGCAAAATGCATTTGGCGCATCTGGTGATGGCGCGCATGTGCTGACTAACTACGGTAATCAATCAACGGGCCGGCTCAACGAACGGGCCACCCCACCAACTTTGTCACCTCCACAACAGTAAGACTACACCACCACATAGAGTAACTATTATTATACAAGAAGCTGTCAGAATATAGTGTTGACTACCGTGAAACTTTTGGCTATCTCAGTTTTCTGTAGGACGTGTGACGCGGCCACTACGGGTCTCAACTCCTTGGGGTGCCGAGCTGGGGCTCATGAGCCACCTGTGGACGCCTTGCTGCACCACCACCATCTTTGGATATTTTTGACTGCAATTTCTTTGAGGCTTTCTTCCTTGCCTGTTTAGGCAACTTAGATGCTTTTTGTGCGTTCTTGAGCTCTCTCACGCGTTCTCTCCATGCCCGCCCCAGGCCCCGGACACTTCGATGTGTCCTGGCTGAAGATGTAGGAACGTGGGATGAGCGTCGAGCTACTTGAAGACGACTAACTTGTTGCGGATAACGAGTGGGTAGCCAAAAACCACTCGGGACGCCAGCTTTGAACAGTGTCGTGATTACTGTATCACGAGATCATAGTGGACGAGCCATAAGCACCGTACGTTCACGTACTGTATCATATGGTTTATTTCAATCTAAGGTTATGCAAGTCTAGGATCGGCGACGGCTTTGATCTTAATGTCGTCCATGTTGCTATGCCACACCGGCACCGCATCCTACCTGAGCTTCAGACATCAGAGCAATCCAGTGAAAAGCATCTCCTCTCTTTCGATAAGTCTACGTTAGTTGCGTGCCGACGTCATTGAAAGTCCAGATCACGATCTTCTTCTGCTCCTGCAAATAGTGGTTCCTCTGCATGTGCCCGCGACAGCTCAATTGAAAGTGCGTTCACGACGATGGTTGAACCCAAGAAGACCAGAAGAGAGGCCAGAGGATAGAGCATCCCAGTATTTGGCCAAGAGAACTTGAGTAAGAGCGAGCCACGGCGACAGCCTTTTCTTTGAGCAAAACGGCATCGCGGATCGAGGCATAGCAATACCAACGCAGCGCAGATTTTCTAGATGGAAGTGTCCATCTAACAGCGTGCCTTGCGCAGCACAAGGGCAGTTGACCAGCTGCCGCATTCCTATTGTAGCGGTCAAAAAGGCCGACCTTCTTAACCTTAGAGTTCAGAAGGCTTTATACACCGTTACACCTATGGGCGCCCCAAAACTTGATTTTGAGCAGCACCTCTATTCCTGTCATGCGTCGAAAGTTTATGCTTGCCGTCGCCTTAGCGCAGCACAAGGAAGCTTGAACAATGGATGGAAACCATAAGAGTTGCAAACTGGAACGTATGGACCCAAAGAAAAAGCGACGATTGAACGTTGAATGTAAGATACACTAGCCGAGCCCACCAGATTTCGACACCCTAGCTATGATGAAAGTGCGGCTGCTGTTGTTGCGACTGCTGCACATATTTCATCGAGTCCGTCTTGCCAGGCTGATTCAGCATCGGCTTGCCTTGCTCTTCACGATGCTGCACTTCCTTGTCCTGCTGCATGAGATCGCAAGGCGCGCAGCAGCAAGCGCAAAGACAGTCTTTGCAGCCATTACCGGTTAAGTTGTATTTCGCCCGCATATTGCCACGATTGATCAGTGGTAAGATCCACGATAGACCTACACATGCCATTCCAGTAAAGGTAGCGCACTAAGTTTTGTCAGTGGGTGGAATGGGTGGTAGGGTGAGGATCTTTACGCTGGTGTTACAGCAGGAGTACCTGCTCATGTCACCGTTAGTCCTCATGCGGTGACAGGTACGTCCGTAGAGGACACAGGGACACCACCATGAGAGACAACCTGAGTGACCGTAAGTGGTGAATCACTTGAACTTGCTGGCTGGACTTGCATGTCTCAAAAGGCGTGCAGCATGATGAGCCTTTGTAGTGCCAATCTTGCTTCTGCATCGTGGCCATGTTGGTCGAGAAAACTGAAAACGTTAAGGAAAAATGTTATATCATGTTTAACAACCGAAGATAGGTACAGTAGATGTACTGTACTATAAGTCAAACATCACGTTATGAAACTCTCAGTCGTTCAAGTGGGGCGGCGTGATCCTTCAGGCGCAGTCGGGTCGAAGATATTCTAAGCAGGGCACCAACGCTACTTGGGATGCGACGTTGACTGCAGGGGACTACTTGGGTCCAGGCCTGAGATGGAAACACTCTGTCGAGGCTCAGCATAGCACCACCTGGGTCAAGACTTTGCGATTATGCAAGCACTTGGGGAACGTGTCCACCCTGTTCTAACTGCCGTGAACAGCTTACATGTAATTTGCAACACTGTGGCGCATTGCTCGACGCATACTGGGAGATCTAGACAGGCCAAATCTGGTGACCGTTACTATAAGTATTTCAGGAGCGATTGCTCTGATCGAGCACCTAAGCTACTACCGCCATGGCAAAGACGAAACAACCTTACGACATTATCCCAGGCTTTCAATCCATCGCCCCATCAATCTGGGTGCGTATCTGTTTCTCCATCTCGACCCAATCGGAAGACGATTCAACTCCGTGTCTTATCATACTCATGACATGGACTGGTGCGCACAACCGCTATATCTCCAGTTATACCTCAAAATATGCCTCCATGTTTCCATCATCCCGCATGATGGTAATCACCACATCAGCAAAAGACTTCATCTTCAGAAGCTCTGCACGCAAGCAAAAGCGCCTCCAACAAGCGGTTGACTACATTTTGAGCCTCCGTGCAGAGCTTCCTCTCGGGAGAAAAGGCATACTGCTGCACCTCTTCTCTGAAGGTGGAACTAACAAAGGCTGCGAACTCGCATCAGCATACCGCGCAGCCACCGACACACGCCTACCCATCTCAGCGATGTATCTGGACAGTACGCCTGGACACCCACGTTACCTGAGGCTCTGTTCCGCCCTCTCGAAATCATTCCCGCCAGTTTTTGTTCTCCGACACTTGGCCAAGGTGACTGCAGTCATAGTTTTGGGGCTAGTATGGGTTCTGTACCACGTCTTCATTGGGTATGAGAACAACCCGGTTTCACGTTCAAGAGAACAGCTCCATGATCGAATGTTGTTTGATCTTACAGTTCCGAGATGCTATCTGTACTCGAAGAATGACGCGCTCATTGCCTGGCAAGATGTATACGAGCATGCAGGTGAATCAATGGAGCGTTGCGGGTGTGTTACAGAGGTCATTTTCGCGGATTCAGGGCATGTTGACCACGCCAAGATAGAACCGAAGCGGTATTGGGACACTGTCAAATCAGTCTGGCTGCATGGTCAGGAGGAACACGAAGGGCAAAACACAGCAGCCACAATGAGTGATTTGCAGCTACCAGAGATTGCCTTTCAAGGTAAAATTACTACAGCTGCGAACCACATACTGGAGGAAACGCTTACAAACGGAAAAATTAGTTGGGGGGAAGAGAGGTATAGTGCGTTCGTATGAGGTAACCCTCTATCTAAGGGTTCCTATGTACGCGATCACGATATGATGCAAAAATGTGTGACTCTCTCGGCCTATATTGGGAAGCGTGATAATATGCGGAAACTTGGACGTGAGTACTGGTAGCGGTGCTAGGCTTGTATTGGCGAATGGAATCAGGATTATGGAGTAAGAACGACGTCTCGCTTGATACCCTTGGAGTACCATAGGTGATGTCTCCGGCGGTCGAGAGATGGGCTGACCTTCTTCTGCATGATAGGCAGCAATTCCTTAAGTTCCAGACATTTGCTGAGCAACTCACTAAGGAGACTCAGGAGCTCAAGGTCAAGATCGAGAACCATAAGCGTGAGAAATCGTAGCCTCTGCAGCGACAGTTTCGAGCCAGGCCAAGTCCTCGTTGTAGTGCGCAACAACAACTTCAAAACTCCTCACATTCGGCTCGTTTGGTGAAAGGCGGGAGGATTTGCCCATGGTATAGTTCTGCAGATGTTGATTCCGCGTTCCCACATGAGTCCTACAGCAAGGTGGATCACTTTAATTGCACTCTGCAAGTGCTCTATGTACAGTAGGAATTGTGTGAGACAGTGTAAAGTACTTTTTCTCTCCCGTGCGCCGACAGCCAATGACTACCTCCTTGGTCTTCTTGCGATAGATAACTCTTCCATTATGATTGGCAGTAGTCGTGGGGTTTCTGTCTTTGGTTGGTCGATGCGAGTGGTAGGCTGACGTGAGTGCACCGGTGAATGTAAACGCGTAAAGCGCATGATTTATTATCTAACCTCGGCTTTGCCATAAAGTCTGTGATTACATAAGACTAGTCGTGCGAAGCGCTGCTCGCCTGGGCATATGAGCTATATTGTAGGCCTCGTCTCGAAAGATACTGCGCCTTTGGTGGCTTCCAGAGCTGCCTCGGCAGCATCTGACTGGAGGGCTTCGCGCTTACCTGGGTGCGCTGTGCGAATGCTCGGCCTCTCAGGTCGGAAAGAGCGCTTCCGCATCCTCGAATCCATGGTGATCCGCAATTTCACCCGCGCAATTCTCGCCAGCCCTGTCTTCAATACAAGCACTTAATGACGCGCAGAAGCGTTTGCTTGGAAGATCACCGAGGAGCAGTCTTGGAACCCCTCTTTGACGGCATTACCAGCCTGCACCTACGCGCAATTCCTAACCGAGGTCCTCAACCTTTTGCCCGTGATAACATACTGTGAGCTGATATTGCTGCTTATCTCCTCACGTCTCTGCGCATTATTCGCGGTTCGACTGAGCTCGCACCCCTCTGGAACGAGAGCATAACCTCTACCCCAGTAAAGCTTGGCTGCGTTGCTTAGACCTTCAGGATATAGCGTCGGCGCTGAAGTCGGGCTAGCACCTATCTCCTGCTCTTCCTCGACCGGATATTGACTGAGCTTGGCCAGGCGAATTTGTCGGACGTCGTCATCGTCAGGGAGGTAGGTAGGGGAAAGGCCCTCGGGACTCATTCCGTGTGGATGGCTGTCTCCGGGATCAATCTCCGCGAACGCCGAGGTCGTGGATTCCTCTGATGGCGGACTCTCGAGGATTTCTGTAACCTCTTGCCCTTGCGGGTGGAAGCGGTCTGCGGTCATTGGCTCATGCAGTTCAGCGTCTAATAATCTAGGATAGGATAGACCATGATCCTCTGGCTGTGGATCTGCGGCCGAGACACAGTCGCCTTCCAGGTCTACCAGTTCGGCGCCTGATCCGCTGAGCACAATCGGGCCTGGCTCCGTTTCCCAGGGCGACACGCGTCGCTCGCTGTTGCCAGCCTCAGGATCGTCGAAAAGGCTGCTCTTTACCTTTTTAAAGCCTTGACTCAAGTGGTCTGGTAGTAGACGAGGGTCGATATTCCGAATGTTTTCTAGGTCTACTGAAGAGGCTAGAATTTGGGTGCTGGACATGGAGTCGGTGGCCGTCCCTGGTGTAGTGCAGGTCGTGTCTGATGCGGCTTCGGTGTTCTCTTGCCAATCGCCGCTAGCACCATCGACCGTAGGGTCGGCGTCGGCTTCGTCCCTCTTGCGCTTGCGCTTGCCTCCATTGCTTCCTTGGCGACTTCCATCATCGAAACAGGCATCAGGAGGTGAACATGGTCGGCTGGACAGAGGCTGGAGCCCTTCCATCTCTGTGTGTTCTGAAAGGACGTGATTCTTCCAGTCTTCGAAATCGCCGATGGAAGCATTGCCCTTTCCTTGAAGGAGGCATTCGGGGCACTTGAACGGCTGCGCGAACTTCTTTTCGTTCTGGTCATGGATTCGACGTATATGTCTCCAAAGGCCACCCCCGCGATCGAAGAAGCACTGGCAGAGCAGACAGAGCTCGGAACCCTTCACTGGTTGAGAGATCGATGGAAGGTTTGGCGTGTGCATCTTGCCGTGGGATGCTTCGGCGTGGCTGCTCCAAGCTGACGGGCCTCCGGTGATCGTGATGTCGCCTATTCCTAGGCGGAAACATTCGGGGCATGAGAAAGGCCGATCGAACGTTCCGTCCTTGACGTGGGTCTTCCGGCAGTGCTTGGTGAGCTCGCTCCGGCCGCGGAAGGTGGCGTTGCAGAGAAAGCACCTGGACTGCTTTGTACTTGTGCGGTTGAGGTCGGCGCTCTCGTCGTAGGCAGGCTCTGCCGCGTCGCCACAACCTTCGACTGCGAACTTTGGAGCGCCAGGCCCTAGCCGTGGGCGCGACGGTCGATGAGCCATGTAATCGACCAGAAGCTCCATGTAGTACTGTGCGCGTTGCTCCACCGAACAGCCTTCCTCAAGCTCCAGGGTACAGCTTTGTAAGAACTGTGCAACAGCAGATGGCGCGCCGCTGCTACACGTTTTCTCCGAAGAGGCCGCGGTGGATAATCCTTGGGCCCTCAGGGTATCTACGTGTTCGAAATACGCTGTCCTCTTCTCTTGCAGTTTCAGATGCGATAGGGTCTCGATGAGATTCTCGATCTGCGCTTTGGCCGAACGAATCTCCTTTTTGCCCTTCTCTCGTGCTTCCACGAGCTTGGCGCGGAGGCCCTGCATGTCGCGACGCTTCTCAAACTTCTCCAAGTCCTCTGCACTTACGTCCACAGGAGCGCCTGCGTCCCGGCTTAGGGACATGCTGCGGAGGCTCTGGAAGAGGGCGTCATTGCACCCGGCCATGGGCCCAAAGGCAAACTTCATGAGATCCTCGCGGACCCGTTTCGGCTGGTAACTTCCCTGGAAGACCTGGGTAGTGTTGGAAAGGATGTAATTGCGCAGCGCATCGGTGAGAATGCCTACGAGGTTTCGGGTGTTAGCAGTGAAATCACCCTTCTCACGTCGTGCGAGCTTTATGGGGTTGCTTACCGTCGAGCCTTCCGCCGGCGCCGACCCGCATCACGTAGAAACGTGGATCCCCACGCAGCCCGCTGACGAGGCATGTCCGGTGCCACAAATCGTAGAAAGTACCGTTGGAAAGATTGAGAATAGGGCGATCAAGCATCTCCTCCTTCCAGTCTAGCGGCAGGAAGTCTACGTTTTCGAGGGAAGGGCGGGAGAGCAGTTCCTTAACAGACTTGAACCTCACTTTGAAAGCATCGTCTTTGATTGCTCGCGCGGCGATGATGCTAGCGAGACAGACGAGGCTGTACGGGACAAGTGTCATGGAGAAGGCTATCCTACACAGTTCGAAAGGGGTGAGCAATTGCGGTGGTGAGGAGTAGAGGGAAGAGCGCGAGCGGAGAAGCGGCGCGGTCATACTTACTCAAGCGCTCTAGAGACGCGCGAAGCCCGCTTCAGCTTGTTCTTCCCAATTGTGGGTGTGACGACGAGCTTCGTCTTTGACCGGTCGTCGGGGTCCCGCACAACGGCCAGGCAGACGTCCCTGTACAGAACGCGTGCTATCGTTGCCTTCCTGAAGCCCCCAATGGCAGCTAGGAGGAGGATGCCATGGAAGGAGATGCGGGTGCTACGATTGCAGGGTATGTCCTCTGAACGCTGCCACACCGTCTTGAGAAGGACGAGGGTGTCTTCGGCGGTAGCTTCGATTTTCTCAAACGTGAGAGTGGTCGCAAGTTCGTACTCCTTTGCGAGGGTATGGAAGATCCACTGGAAAGAGAGATTAGCGTTCTTGGGGATTCAGAATAGGCAAGGTAGGGTACCTACCTGGCAGATCTCGAAAACAGGACCCTGTCCGCGTTGATTCGTATGGTCTATGAACTTGAGTCGCCACTGCAGGACATTCTGCGGTTCCTCGTGCCTTTTCTCCCGGAGAACGGTGGAATCGGCCTGGGCGATGAGCTCCCTCCAGCATTGAATGACTGTGGAGGCCGAGTTCACAGTTCGCCTGTACTCGTACTCTTCTGGCCCGAGAACCACAAACTTCTGCACCGAATCCACAACGTAGGCATCAAGGTATAAGCGGCAATGGTTTATAGCCGCCTCAGTCCCAAGGCATAGGTCGAGCCAGATCTGGTTCGGGTCGATTTGCATCACGTTGGTGAAGTACCTGGGGCCACATATTAGATTAAGATCGAGAATCGGCCAGTTGCGCGCGCGGGGGAACAGAGAGGACACTTACGAAACCCAATTCTCCATATTGCGACGGCGGTGGCCGTCTGTTGCTTCCGCAATTATCGGCCGGTCGTCTAGCGGCCGCAACGTGTACGATTGCAGAGTCAACTGTGCCTTTGCTCTCCTCGATTCTATGTCATTGGGAGCCAGTGAATGAGCCTGCGGTGCCCCCGCGTTCCGCCTTCGATTGTTTCCTTGCGGGCGGGCCATGTCTGAGCACCAATGGGCGTGTTCTCTCGAGGAAGGAGGCTTTATTGGATGTGGTTTGAAGGGGCAGTGGAGCGCGACGATAAGAGGGCGGACGGCGGCTCAGTGATCGTGAGGGAGGCGTAGGTCGATGAATGCGCGGGGAGCGTGTTCGAATGCCTCCAATTAATCTAAGGTGGGCATGAAGCTGTTGGAGCAGGCGCGAGGCGCGAGGAGTGCTTCGTGGAGAACGAGGGGAGGGGAGAGCGAGAATAGAAGAGTGCGCGTGAGGGAGAGTAGACGCCGCGGGCCAAAACTCTCCTTTATATGTGGCTTACGTGGAAAGCGAGGAGCTCGAGGGTGTCAGAATGGGCCGCCGAGCATACAGAGTGCCGTGCCACCGCGGGACGGGCGACAACGGTACCAGGAAGCGCGCAGGCACCTGTGAACACGGCTCCGGGGACGCCACCGTGAGCGGCCGGGTCCCAGGGGAACGACGCCATATCGGACGAAGGAAGAGAGGGCATGGGTGGTCAGCTCCAGCGTCGGTCGACTCATGGTGTGGGCGTTTGGAGGGGGAGAGCTGGGTGCTAGCTCCATCGTCACCAAAGACCATCAGTAACGTGGGAACGAGGCGGGGTCATAAACGATACATGACATAAGCAGGTTTACGATACGGGCAGCCAGTTGCTCGAGAGGTCGGCACGGAAGAACAGCCAACGCCGATCATGGCTTGGCGGGCAGCGCAAACGCTCGCCGTGGAGACTTTCCTGGAAACGGGCGCTAAAGCACTCGCCCCACTCAGCCCCGCCAAAGCCGCGGGCACCCTTGCACTTGGGGCTGTGCGGGTGGCGGCTGCCCGGCATTACGACAACCTCGACTGAAGGCTCAAGCTTCCTTTCTTCTACGCACGCCTCTAGGCTGCAACAAATGCCATATACCTCGAATTTTAGAATTCTTGCACTCTGTTGTACCTAGAAACCATCTAAGGTTGTAGCTCGCACAAGAAGACGTTGTCCTCCGGTAGTTCGCATCATGCCTGCGCCACTTGCTAAAGGTGAGTACGAGCTCTCATCTCCACTACTGCATGTATCTGTTGTGTAGCCTCTTCCCTTCCAACACATCTTTCATTCCTCTCGTCATGTTTGAATCTATGCCAACCTGCTTGCAGGCCCCGGCTCGCGCTCTGCTTCACCCAGCTTTCAGCCTCGAACCTCGCCACAGCACCGGCCTAACCACCCCTTTGCTACAGGCCTCATAATAGCTGCGTCAGTCTTAGTTGCCGCTGGAATCGCCATCTACGAGAACCCACAAGTACGGCAATGGGTCGACCAATCTCGCCGCAAAATCGCTGTTGCCCTGCACTCGCTCGGCGATGACATCCAGCCGCGTCGACAAAGCGAGTCTTCTGACGATTTCGAAGAGAGGAAGAGGAGACGAGAAGAGCTTATCAGGAGGAATCGCAATGAGCTGATTCGGCGAGCTCGTGAGGAAGGCATAGCAGTCGATCTAGATGAGCTAGCTAAGATTGGCACTGAAGATGCTGCACTCGCAGAGAAACGGTCGTGTGCCAACAGGTCGAAGAGCTTTGATGAATTAGTCGGCAGCGATGGCATGCTCAGACAGGGCGCAACGGCAACCGGCTCCGACACTACGAACACTGGGATGAGGAAGCGAGGTGTAGCTGGCTTTGCAGCTGGCACAGCCACAGCAGCAACTACGTCAAACCCCTTCGCAGATGAAAACGTCCTCTTCGAGGTCGGCGACGACGATGACGCTCCCTCGCCCAAGCCCTTCATCTATGAGGAACACATTCCACGCTCGCGTTCTGCCACAATCGAAGCCGAGACACCACCCATCGAGGCACCCCTTGAGCCATCCCTCGCAGCACCCCTCCTCGATCTGACTTCTGAACCCCAATCCGTCTACCTGCACCCTGAGACTCGCCTGGTATCTCCAACCGCACTGTTGCACACATCTGAGACAGAACAGGCCGCTCAGTCCTTCTACTCCTTCACCTCCTCGAACGACCGCGACGACGACTTCGAAGAAATGTCCGCCGGAACCCTCACGCCTCGCTCCGAGCGCTCAGCTGCAACTGGCGCATCCATCGTGCCCAGCCACGCCGACGATATTGCGGTGTTGAGCATGCAGAACGATGCAGACCACGACGCGAGGTCAGAGGTGTTGTCCGAGAGTGGCTTCACTGATGCTGGATACAGCGACTTCGAACTCGGAGACAGGACTGGCGTCATGACGCCTAACTCGTGGACAGACGTTGGCAGCGACAATGAGAGTGAGTGGGGTGGACCTCAAGGCAACGGGCATGTGAGCCAGATCCATCAGTAGGCGTTTACTATTTTCGTCCACATCTCGCGGCAAAAGAATGATTGGCAAGGCGTTCTGGGTGGGACACCCGAGTGGGATAGGAAGGATACCTATGGCGTTACTTGACGTCATTTCGACAGCTTCGTTCTGTGTTGCTTCGTACAAATACTTATCTTCGTATCTATCACTACCCTACTTCACCTCTCCACTTCCAGATCCCACTTTCCTTGTCTCAACGCTTCTAATAGCTCTTCCCAGCTTACACCGACATTCCCTAGTGCTTCTCTGGTCGCACCGATGACTTCTGCTACCGCAGGATCAAGGTATCCGCTACCACCGTTGAGCATGAAATTCAGGAACACGGTTGCGCTCGGACTCGATAGGAGGAGCTCTTGGTCTGTTCGCCAGACATGTTTAGTGTTTTCCATGGCTGGGTCCTGCAGGAGTATTAATTGATTGATGTCAATGCCCTGCGCGTCTTGGAGATGATCGAGATCTGCGAAGGAGCTATCATGCTTATTGCTGAGGAAGCGAGTTAGAAATGGATGGAGCATGCGAGAATGTAAGTGACCCATGGTCTTCAATTCCGGACTTCAAGATTTTGGGTTTGACGCATTCACGTTGATGAAGAGGAGAGTAGTGGAGTGACGTGTTGCTGGTGAATGCATGCGGTTGGCAGGGCGAGTCATTCGAGCAGCGTTGAGTAAATTGTTGACTGCTGGCAGCGAAGCATCCAACCATTCGACTCACTCCAGACCGTATGTCTCCGGCCAAAATTTCGCACACACAGTATCCCTACAAGACTCAGTAATCTACCCATCAGGCTGCCCGTGTCTTTCCATAGCCCTGGAAACCTGCCTTAACACAAGCACTCTCTCCACTAACTCATGTTTCTTAGCCTCCATCGCCCTTTTTGCCCCCATCGCACTCGATTCCGCTTGTACCGAAAACCTGTTGTTCCCTTCATCCTGTTCAGTCAAAAACACCATGTTGCGTAGCAGAGCTGATAGACCTACCAGAACTATCGGCTTCGGGTTCTGCTGTCCCTGCAGATTCCCGTGGTTTATCATCCGTAGATGTGGATTCGTATTTCACACTGCAAGTCATTTTGGGATGGTGTCCAGCCTTCGGTAGGAGTGAGTTGCAGATATCTTTTGGGAGGATGAAAACAGGTGAAGGGTCAAACAAAAGTTATAGACGCTGGCAGCCAGACCGCACGGCTGAGAGGAGGGAGAGAGAGATGGGGGTTATATCGAGGGCTTATGTAGCAAGGCGTTGTGTACTGGCGCATGTGAGAGGGCGTGTCAGACCTGTAGAATGCGAGACAGATGAGCGGTGCTGCGAGACTGGGGGAGATACGGAAAATGCGAGAGTGCAAGCGCGTAGTGAATACACGGTACCTTTCCGCCACAGGTCGCTCTCAGTTTGATCTAGACACTGTTTCATGTTGTCTCTGATTCGATGTTTCTATGACAGTCCCGCACTCTTGGCTGCAATTTCCTTCCCCTTGATACCCTGAGTCTCAACCCTCTTCCTCAGCCGTTCTGTGTTTCTCCCTATCGCACCCACTACTTCCTGCAGCCTGTGTATCGCGATATGTCCCATATCTATCTTGCCCACAGCTTCGTTCAGCTTCATTTCTTGCTTGATCTGCTCTGTCCGGATTTCTGCGCCGAGGGAGAAGAAGAGGGAGCGGACTTCCTCCTGGAAGGACGATAATTGACTTTCGAGTGTGGGCTCAGGTGTGGACATTGTGGCTACGGTGAATGAACTGAAGTGTTGTGTGTATCTGTGGAGGTAGGAGAGCTGGGACGGGGTGTTTTAGATATGCGGTGGGGAGAAGAAGAGGAGCGTAGTTCGTAGCGCACATTCGACGTGGCTGATGATTTGGCGAAGAGGTGACGCGTGTGGTGGGCAAAATGCCGTTTGTAAACAGCTGTTGGTGCGTGTCGATGTCACGCTCGGGCGCTGGGAAAGCCGTTGATGCTGCAACCCTCCCACAAAAATCTGTAAATCTGCAGCATTGTAACGCATGCAACACGATGTCACGACTCACCCGCAAAGCAAGCGCAATCCAGCTCCTTTCGCTCAATGCAGAGCAGACCCAGATTGAGCAGCAAGCACTGCATGCTGAACTTAATGATCTCAAGGAAGCGCTGAAGCGGAGCCATACGGCATACACCATGCTTCGCGACGACGTTGAACGCTTCAAGAGTATTGTGCGAGCCCAGGATGTTGCGCTGAAAGGGTTGCGTGAGGAGGTGATGAGCTTGAGGAGCGAAGTCGCTGCGTTGACGAGGCTGCCTGCTGTTGAGAGGCTTAGAGGAGCAGTGGAAATAAGGAAGGAGAAGGGTGAGAGGGAGCAGGGGAGGTGAAGATGAGATGTGGTCGACTGTGCGATATGGCTTGTCGGGCCTGAGAGACTTCTACCCTATCGTGAGTACTGTAGATTCCGATACCTGGAACCCAATCCTCATCTAGTCTAGATCCGACATACATATTCTTCAAGTTTCGTGAAGATATACTTCAGGCGTCGCGGTGTCTTTCGTGCTCTTCCAAAGCCGCCCTTTTCCTGGCATGCTCTCCGTGAATGCCCCACAGACACACGACGATGCCAAGCACACTAGAGAGTAACGTAACGTAGTACGCCCGTTGATAGCATTGCAGTCCTTCCTCGCAGTTTCGGTTGCCGTCCGGCTCCACGATGGAATTCGAGTCGTACACAGCGCCGTAGAACAGGTTGTAGACATTACCGCTGACAACAGGAGCCAAAGTCAAAAAGCCCCAGTTGACCGAGAAGCCGTCGGGACCGAAAGTGTCCACCACGACCGCCGGGAGGACACCGAAGGTGACCCCGTACGCAAGGCCGCAGAGGCCCGAGACAGCCCAGAGGTAGTTCGGATTTTCAACACGAGTCGCGCAAAATTGGTCAATTGCGAAGATGAAGGCCGCGATGACAACGCACCAGAAGCGGGAGTGGCCAAGGCGCTTGACAATGAAGTCGGAACCGATGCCTGATGACAGGCGGCCGAAGAAGGAGCCGAGTGAGATGATGGAAACGTGCCATAACTGGCGGTGTGCGACGAAGTCTTTACTCGCGGACTTGTCGAAGTGGTTCCACAGAGCCTGGACGTTGTGGCCAATGTTACTATCGAAGTCAGCATGAGCACTCATACCTTGCGAGAGTCGACTTGCTTGATTGTCATAATACCAACACCTGTCAGTAGGCCCATAAGAATCCAAAGTTGCCAGAATTCCGGCTTGTAAAGCAGCGCAAATCCAGTAATGTCTAGGCAGTGTGAGTGAGATGACTTCTTGCTATGTCTGCTTGCAGCATCCTCCTCCGGATCGATGTCTCCAGGCCCAGAAATGAGCGAAGATGTTTCGGTCGACGATCGGCTGGGGTCATCTTCGTCTGCTGGATGCGGTTGGTATATGGTAGGGGGGAGTATATAGGCTACAGCTACGGTCAAGAAGAGAGGCGGTACTTACTGACTTCTTGTGGGGGCAGTACAGTGGCGCTGTACTTGCTGCGGTTGGAATTGGTTCGGTGCAAGATGTTCGAGTTGCGGCGGGCTCGCTCGTTTGTAGGCAGAACTGTGTAGCTGGTGCTACTCTTGTGGTCAACAACGATGAGAAAGGGGATTGAGATGAGGACGAGTAGTGAAGTCGCTAGCGAAAGCATGGTAAGCAGGCCGGAGGTGTTGCCAGGAAACGCAAGGCCGGCAATGAGGGTATAGAAGAAAGCGCTCAACCCAAAGGCCGCCAAAGGGAAAGCCGTCGCCGACCCGCGGTGTGTAGGCCAGTTTAATGTCGCTGGAGGTGTCAGTGGATGGTCGGAGGGGGCCTTGTTAGCTTCCTTACCTGTCTTCAAAGCAGCCTGGAACGCAGCACAGCTGCCCACTCCAGTAACGAACGAATAGAACGATATCATGGCGACGCTCATAGACCCAGGGCCACCGTCGTAGGCTATCCCAGGTCAGTCATGTCAAAGCTGCAGTTCGCAGAAATGCGACGTACCCATCTTGATGGGGTAGTATCCAACTAGCAGCGCAAACATGCCAATGATAGCCGAGAGGCGAGGATTCACCTTATCTGTTATGAGACCAATTGGTATGCCCGACGCATACATGCCCATGTTCGCTGCTGTTCCCTAGTCATTGTGAGACGGTGGCACTCGAAGCTGGCGGCAGAGACGGGCGTACGATGACATTGCTCTGGGTGGCCGAGAGCTGGAGCTTGTCGGCAAACTGCGGTGCCCACGCTGAGTATGCATACTGCGAGCTGTTAGCACAAGTCAACGGCCGCTGGACTTTGGACATGCATTTGTTCCACATGCCAGCGCAATGGCCGTGGCAGCAACGACAGACACGACCCGCGTCTTCTTGTGGGGCGTGGTCTTCTCCAAGTCGACCATGGTAGGCAGCCAGAAATGTATGTTAAGGAGTCGCGGCAACCATCGAGTATTAGATTGAAATTGGGAGGGCTGCGCAATGGCAGCCAGTGGGTCTAACAGATAACGGCAATGCACGGGAGCCCAAGGGTGAGACAAGCTGAGCGTACGGACACGTCGACGAATTCAAGTGTCAAGCAGAAGCAGATAGATACACCGCGCGACAAGAACAAGCAAGGCGAGGAGATGCAATGCGCCCCAATTGACTACACATTGTTCTGGGAACGTGACGGTTCAAATGTTGAGAGCTGCTCGGAGATAAGCTGCCAAGCACGGCAAGAGCCGCACGCGGGTGAACGTCACCGAGCGGGCTGCAACCTCGTGCGCTCTTCTGCCAGGCGTCTCTCCACAACACCCACCCCCACAACACCGCAACCATGGGCGCCGCATTGTCGCTCCCGTTCCTCGCCATGCCCGCCATGGGCACAGTACGTCAAAAATGCTCTGCACTGGCTGTGAGCTGTGCTAACCCGGCCAGGTATGGAGCGTCGCCGCCTCCTGCTGTGGCGCGGCCACCTGCAGCGCCGTCATGGGCTCCTGCGGTGGAAAGTGCGGAAACAGCATCGCTACCCGTATCGCATACGCCCTCATTCTCCTCATCAACTCGATCGTCTCGTGGATCATGCTCACCGACTGGGCCATGAAGAAGCTCTCGAAGCTCACCCTCGACTACGTCGACATCAAGTGCCACGGCGAGCAGTGCTACGGCTTTGTCGCCGTCCAGCGCATCAACTTCGCCCTCGGCTTCTTCCACGTCCTCATGGCCCTCATGCTCGTCGGCGTTCGATCCTCCAAGGATGGCCGCGCCAGGATTCAGAACGGCTTCTGGGGCCCCAAGATCCTTGGCTGGATTGCCATGATCGTCCTGACCTTCTTCATTCCGAACTCGTTCTTCATCGTCTGGGGCAATTACTTCGCCATGGGCGGAGCCTGCCTCTTTCTGCTCGTTGGTCTCATCCTGCTCGTCGATCTGGCGCACAACTGGGCCGAGTACTGCCAGGAGAAGATCGAGACATCTGAGTCGAGGATGTGGACGGCGCTGCTCGTTGGCTCTGCGCTGTTCATGTACCTCGCATCGTTCGCCATGACGATCGTCATGTACATCTACTTCGCCAAGAGTGGATGCGGCATGAACCAGGCAGCCATTACTGTACGTACCTTCACGTCTGATCTCCACCTCATAACCAACATGTCTAGATCAACCTCCTGCTCCTCCTCGTCACATCCGTCATCTCGATCCACCCCGCCGTCCAAAACGTCAACCCCCGCGCCGGTCTCGCGCAATCCGCCATCGTAGCAATCTACTGCACCTACCTGACCCTCTCCGCCGTAGGCATGGAACCCGACGACCACCAATGCAACCCACTGATCCGCGCCCGCGGCACCCGCAAGGCCACCATCATCATCGGCGCCATCGTAACCTTCATAACCGTCGCCTACACCACGACCCGCGCCGCCACCTACGGCCTCGCCCTCGGCTCGCAAGGCAACTCGTACGGCAACGGCTACGCGCAAGTCGGCACCGACGACTACGAGCACGGTCTCGTAACCCAACAGCCCTCATCGCGCCGCGACATGCGCCAGGCCGCGCTCCGCGCCGCCGTCGAATCCGGCTCGCTCCCTGCCTCCGCGCTCGACGACTCCGATTCGGAGGACGAGGACGACGCGCCGTCCAAGGCGCCGCGCGACGATGAGAGGAATGCGACGCAGTACAACTACAGTCTCTTCCACGTCATCTTCTTCCTGAGTACCGCGTGGGTCGCGACGCTGCTCACAAGCAACTTTGATGAGAAGGCAATGACAGGTTTTGTACCCGTGGGACGCACGTACTGGGCCAGTTGGGCCAAGATTATCAGTGCGTGGGTGTGCTATGCGATTTATGGGTGGAGTTTGGTTGCGCCGCTTGTGTTGCCTGATCGGTTCGATTACTAGGAGCGTCGTTGTACGGAGGTGTTGTGAGAAGGGTATTTATCGTTCGATATGGTTCAGCATTGTATTTGTATGGAATGGTCTTACTAGACGCTGGACACGTGTGCACTGGAGGCCATCTGGCATGCAAGTTGATTATGGATGCTCCGTTCTAAGCAAACAACAAGTATGCGTACGAGCAGCAACATGCGCCATGCCTCACCTCCTTAACTGTGAAGCTCTCTTGATCGCCTGCCCTTCCCCACACTCCCCCCAAATCTCTCATTCCCTCTGCCAGCTGATGGAGATTCTGAGCTCACTCTCCGCCTCCCATTCATATCGCTGACCTCCGGCACGAGCCGGTAGATGCTTCCCAAGTTACATCAATGCCGGTGCGGATCCGTGTAGTGCTGGTATGTGATGCCAGCATTGGGTCGGTGAAAGTGGATGTAGTCGCTTGGGGTTTCTGCTTCCAGAGATGAGTGTATCTTGGGGAGAAGATGGGCAGGTGCTGGTTGTGGCTGGTGTTGTGCAGGGTATTCCACGGCGACTGTTTGCGTGACATAGATGCCACGCAGTCAGGAAGAATATGCTGCCATGGCCAGTCTCTTGCTTCAGCCTGCGTGCGTCGTGATTTTGACTTTATTCTTGGAGCCCTTTGGTCGACCACACTTGGGCACCTTGGCTGGAACCCGAGGCACAGCGATCTGACCGCCTCTCGGCGAAGGCGCTAGGTGCATTGTAGGCTTCGGGCCCTTCGTGTTCTTGAGGCAATCGAAGAATGCCTCTTCGCCCTTCTTAGGCCGGCCGGGTCGACGTCGAGGTTGGCCCAGCGGCGCAGAAGGCTTGATTTCCACCACGGGCTCGACGAGGCTGATTAGGTTCAGCGTTTCTTGGTCCAGAGTGTTGCGCTCGGGGAAGATGGGCGAGCCCATCCATGTTAGTTGTATGTCTTTTTGTGTGCCTGCGTTTGCGAACTTGGATGGCCGCTTCTTCCGCTGAGGTGTCGTGTCTGCGTCAAGTATCTCAGACTCGGGCAGCAGTGCGCGCGGCGTGTGCCTCACTGTCACACCCACGCCCTGCAACCCCCTCTCACTCGCCGCCCTATTCCACACAAACTGCTGAATAAGTCCCTGCCTGGACATCATCACGAAGCCCATGGGCCATGGACTGCGCGCAATAGCGTCCATGGTTCCTTTCGTGGCCTTCAGCGTCGTCACCAGCAACCCGAGAACGGGTTTGCCCTTCCAGTCTGGAGGCATCCCCCGGAATGAGCCCTCGAGTTCGCGGATGTGGCTGGGACCGACCGAGCATTTGCGCGCCTTGCACTGGATGATGACGGGGAGTGGCTCGCTCAGAGGCGCCAGGACCCAGTGTCCGATCAAATCAATGCCAGCATCGTTCTTCGCACCCGTTCTTAGGAGCGAGAAGCCTAGACGCATGAACGATAGAGCGGTCGTGTACTCAAAGTGCGTGCCCACATAGTAACTCTTGAGCGGAGAGAGTTTCGTGCGGGTCGCGTATTCGATAAAAGTCGCCAGCGAGTTGTGGTCTTTAGCGCCGTTTTTGACAATCAGCCGAGGCAGGTCAATGGGCGCAGCGTTCTGCGCCGATGTGGTTGCGATGCGGCGGGGGACGAGGCTTTGCGGAGTGCCTCGGGGGTGCCAGGGAAGGGGCGATGCGTGTCTGAGCCATGCTACGCGCAAGAAAGGTCGCATTACGGAGTGGCTCGAGGTAACGCAGACAGACGAAACATGTTTACACGAAGACCGAAAAAAGGGGGGAAGGGGTATGGGGTACAATTGGGTGATTGTCGTGTGAAGGAGAAGAGTTGAGATTCGTGAAGGATTCACGCCAAGATGATCAGTTCAGCCCTGCGAACGCGTCCTCCCGCCGTGGACCTCTCCCAACGTCTCTTACCCCACATACACGAAGATCCTACTCGCCACAGCCGATACACCCTCCGCGGCTGAGCAGTCTAGACACACTCACCCGCCACGTTAAACACCTCACTTCCCATCCCCGTGACAATGGCCGACATCCTCACGCAAATGCAAGACGAGGTGGACATGGTACGCGTAGCAAGCTGGCACATGACGACATGTTTACTAACCCCCCCCCCTCGCCCAGCTCCTCAACATCATGCAGTCACAGCTCTTCCAGATCCGCACCAGAGCACCCCCCAGCGTACCAGAAGGTCAGCAGAAGCTCAGCTCATTCGCCGAGAAGGAAGCAGCCGACAAGTCCGAGAACGCGACCCAGAACTCTGCGCAACCGACCCAGACAAGCGAACATGCACCGCCGGCGCAGCCTACGAAGGAGGAGTTCAACGATGATTTGAAAGAGATGGCCAAGGATTTGGTTGTCAAGTCGCAGCAGATCGAGATGCTGATTGCGAATCTGCCGGGTGTGAATTCGAGTGAGGCTGAGCAGGTGCAGCGTATGAAAGAGCTTGAGAGGGAGCTGGAAGAGGTGGAAGGCGAGCGACTGCAGGCTGTTAAGGTGAAGGAGTTGCTGCTCAAGAAGGTGGAAGAGAAGATCATGGGCGTTGGCAAGATGCGATGAAAGCCAGAAAGTGTCCAGCAGCAAATTCTCGATACATGTGACCCGCCCGATGTCAAGAACCCATGGACCTCCCGCCTCTTCTAGGACCCTCAACTATCCTCGCTATCTTGAACCACACTTCAGGACACATTCTCGCCACAACGCAGGATTGCAATTACACTACCTGTACCTCTGCCTGTTCTCTCTCGGCGGCTCCTCAAGGCTACACTTTCTCAGATCCCCGTCAAGGTTAACTAGCTGGACTCTCTCAGACCTTCCAGTATGTCGTTCGCCTCGTCATAGCTACGCCTTTCCTCCGCAGACGTGGCCCTGTTCACATAGGTGTTGCATCTTGCCAACAGACGCGGAAGCTCCTCAGACCACAACTTAAGGTTGCACAGGAGTGATTCGATTGATCGGCGGCCATACCCATGCTCGTACACGTACCGACGTAACTGGTGCTCATGTTCAAAGCAGGGTGAATGAGGGGCATCATCGCATCGGCTGTCGCGGAGGTGAGGGCCTGGCGGTGTGGGGCAGTGTCGGTGTCGCGAGTCGTACGGCATGTTGGAAAGGCGCAGGGGGTTATGCCTGGGCAGCCAGCAGCAGCGCACTCTTTTATGGCATCGCTTGCACACTGAAGCAAAGCCGGTTTTCGACTGTGAAGATCATCTGGTGGAAGCACATGGCAGCGATCCGGGTCGGAAAGCATACTTCGTTTCCATTGTTCAAGGCGCTCCGCTTTTTGAAGCTTCTGATGATTCTGCACACGTTTTCCCGTATGTTGGGGGTAGACACCGTCAACACAATATGGTTGCTCACCTTGGCTTGGTCGCTATCTACGAGGGCATCCGTTCTACATCACCTCAAATCACAGACGGCCTCAACATCTCCGAGGGTAAAATTCACAGCGAGTACAACATTCTACTTCCGATCTCCTGCTCCACTCTTCCCAATTCCCGCCCTACTTCCTCCCCTCGAATCAATACAACCCCTTCCTCCTGAAATCCGTCCTCGGTGCAGCCGCGAGCCCATCATCTCTTAAATCCGCATCGATAGCGTTCAAATCCTTCAGGAGCTCACCAAACTTCCTCATCGCATCTCCGAATTGCCTCGTGTCGTTGGCAGCATAATACTCGTCCCTGTAAAGTGCCGCCAATCGTGGAAGCTCCTTGGCCCATGCATTGAGACCTTCGAGAAGGTATTCGGCTTTTTTGCGCTGAAATATCAACTGTTCATCAAGATACCGATCCAGGTCATCGTCGAGAGGGTTGCGACGGGGGCGGCGGTCGTGGTGGCCTCTGCCATAGCTCCAAGGCATGATGAAAGCGCTGTGGTGAATGGAAAGAGATGAGGGTTGTGGTTTACTCAACAACTTCATCAGTCTCATTCTTATACACTGGCCTCGCGATCGAACAATTGATGATCTATTTGTTGAAGGTCAACTGTTAAGGGCATGTGGCAGCGACGAGATCACACCTCAGAACAAACTTTGCTTATTGTCCACGAGCTGTCAGCACCTATCATCTCTTTCCAAGGTCCCCCTTCCCAACATGAACCTGCCTACTCATCCTCACAGTCTCGAATGTATCAATATCCATACAGTAAGATCACAATGCCATGCAGGCTAGATTGTGTTACCGACGAAGCATCCAAGGTCAGCAGTCCCTCTCCCTCCCATTCGCCGGAAATCAGTCCTCAACCTCACCCATTCACATTCATTCCACCCCTCTTCCATCCCTCACTCCATCCCCTCTCATACAGTCTACCCAACATGTAGGGCGAAATGCAAGCTATTGACGTCCCAAGCTATCGTTGCATATGTAGGACCCGCAGGTTGCACGATCTCGCATCGGCTCCCCATGTTCACCGTTCAGCTCGACTTCCCGCTCGGGGATGAGAAAGAAGCTCAAGCTGGAGACGATATGTCTTCGTGTTCTTGCTTGATGCCCTGCTCGGCCCGCTTGGAATGTGAGAGGGGACGTTGTTGGAAGATGTGCGGAGAACCCTGGAAGGTGCAGGAGGTGGAGATGGACCCTGGACTAACGGGATCGAGGATGGTAGGTTTACTTTCTGTACCCATGGGTGAATGACTTCGATGTCTCGTTACTTACTTAGGTGGATATTGCGTACAGAGTGACCGAGTGGTCTTCAGCAAGGCTCTGCCGTCTTCAATTGGGGTGTACGGACGTCTGGAGTTTCGCATCGCAAGTACAGGCGCTCTTGGAGAAGCTACAGGGCTCTGTGAAAGTGCAGCAAAATGATGTCTAGTAGGAACGATACTGGGGTCGATAAACGGCGATTAAGTGCAATGCGCCTTGTAGTGCCGAGAAGCTGGGGAGTAAACAGCATGCACAGGTCGACTTCAGTCTTGAAGGTGTACACGGGTGGAGTATGGCAGACGTGGAAGAGCGTGCGTTTGTTCTTTTCAAACAATCAAGTCGACGCGGTTACTTTCAGTTTTGCGTTATCTGATGCTTCACGAAAATACGCGCATATCCTTCTGCTATCAATTGCTTGGTTTCAGTTTAGTTGACGGGCTCTGAACCGAAGATCAGCGAGATGAGCTCAATTCCACCTTCACTTTGACTCATCCCCACTATGGTCACAACTATTTCGTCGACACCACCAGCGCTACAGCCGCCACCGCTCCTCCTTCCACGTCGCACAGTGAGCAATTTCTAGCAATGCTGCACTATCGCCCTTCGTCGGAGTTCAGCCCTTCGACGGCACCTTCCCAAAGCATTGCGCTTGTGCCGTACGATTCAGAAGTTCTCTCCGTTGTCGAGCAACTTCCTAGCGGAGAGGAGGAACAATCTATTATCGAGCCCCACGCGACATTATTCTCTCCAACAAGCCGCTTGCAGTCACTGTTGAACTTTGCGCGCTGGGCGAATGAGCATGAGCGAGCTCCTGTCACATTGGACAGCTTCTTGCAGCAGGTGCAAGGCGAGCGAGACAACGTGGAAGCAGTACTCAAGAATCAAATGTCTGTAAGTACACCTCGTCAACCCATGTATCACAGGACTCTATGCTAACATTTTAGACTACAGCAGCGCGCTTTGTAGACAGCCTGGCTCACCCCCTGCCGGACAGCGAAGACCAAGCTTATGATGCGAGTAACGACGCCGACGATGATCTAGGTCACCACACAGATTTTGAAGAAGCATCAACGGCTGCTGAAGGGCTTGAAGAGATCGAAGGCATTGGTGCGACACGAGAGATTCCGCAGGCAACACAGCCGCCAATCCGCGCGAACAACCTCATCGCACCACATTTGACGCCCGCCCAGCTGCCTGCAGCAAGGTTGGAACGAAAAACAGCGAAAGAAAGAGAGAGGACAGAGAAGAGAGAGGAGAAAATAAAGGAGATTCAGCAAAGAAGTGAGATCTTCTGTTGCCTCAAGAGCCACGCTCAGCAAACTCTCAACCAGACGAGTGGACGGTCGTACCAATCAGCAGAGACCATACAGCTACACACGGGAATTGAGGTTGAAGCTAGGTGGATTGAACTTCGCGGCGGTATGGCCTTTGAGAATCCAAAGAGATTGAAGAAAGAGATACAGCTTGTCCTCGAGATTATGGCTCTGACAGCTAAGGAAGGAGAGCGCTATTGGATTGAGGTGCTCCTACATCCTCTCTCAGCAGGCATTGCGGCTCCACGCAATGAAGCAAAGATTCAAGTAAGCCTTCAGACGCAAGACCAACATCGCCAAGAGATGCGGACACGACCTTCCGACTACGAAACGATGGGAGTTGACACGGACGCGATCAAGGTAGGCCTTCCTACCTCAGACAACAGATCCCCAGCCATGCCAACAACCCAGGATGCATATACATACAAAAGTTGCAGGGCGATCAAGGGAATAGACCCATTCACGGATGTAGTGAGGGTGAACTTGCCTGGTTCAACTCTGGCATCACCAACAAGTTTCACACCTGCTCGCTCCAACACCCCTCTTAAGATTACCGGTATGGAGAAAAGGTTCGGCGTCGTCGAACCCACTCCACCAGTATCAGATGCAGGACCTATAGTAGAAGCGAAACTTGAAGTTGCAAACACAACTGGTGCTGGCGAGAAGGTGGTGGAAAAGGATGTCAACGACAAGCTGAGTCGTCAAAAAGAACTACCCAGGAGCCCCATCAAGAAAACGGTTTCAGGACTAATGGCGCGCAAGAAAGAGCGATCCGCAAGCACTGGCCCAGATCACTTCCTCAGCTTGTTGGACTTGATGAGGAAGAAGTAGGGCGCTTGCATCGCGACTGATGTGTGAGGGGGAGTAAATGTAATATACGTACGAAGAATATCTACTCCCTGAGTTCTGTTCAAGCGCTCGTTAAGTTTATGAATCGGTGTTAAATGTACCTTCATTCGACGGAATTTCTTCAAAGGTATGAGCTGATGGTATTGTTGGTGTAGTGGTTAGCATAATCATAATTGTGGTTCTGGTCGTTAGCTGGACCGGTTTCAATTTAGCAAGAGTAGATTCTGAGGATCCCACGGTGATAGCTCCATAATGTGTGGCGAGGGAGATCAACACCGTGGCTGTGTGAGCAAGATGAGTGGGCGCGCTGAGCATCTGACGAGGTCTTTGAAGTTTTCGAAGCTCCCAACATGTCTGTGGGTTTGGATACTAAAGCAACAAGCTTCAAGGATGAATATTATGGCGCGACAGTGATGGCGATCACTGGTGAGATCCGCATAGACTACAACACCAAACACCAACTTTTTAAGGTAGCCAGCACAGCCTTACAACCCACTGATTTTGGAGGTAAAGAAGAAGGACAGGTCTGGCATTGCCATCCTTCTACACCTACCTCCTGCACCTTGATGTGAACTACCAGTAGCTCACACATCTTCAGGGCTTAGACCCCCACTATATCTTGTGCTTTCATAGAACTAACCCCGTGTAACTAAACCCCTGTATTACCAGAGGAGCTACTGCACCTCTCGTCCCCATAGTCACAGACTCACATAGGACGTAAACCAATCAATCAGCCAATCAATCAATCGAAGCGACGACATCCTCACCTGCCAAGTTTCGAAGAGATGTGGCAGCACGCATCATCTCAGTGGGCCTTGCACCCATCGCCTCAGCCCTGCTGCCCTGTTTGCCCATTGGTGGAACGTTTTCCAACGATGGACCTCCCATATGCGGAATCCTTCAGCTACGTACCTCATCCAGGGCCGCCAGGTAAGTCGACCAGTACTTACCCACCGGGCGTCCACCGGGTGTTTTCTCATATCGAGCGTCACCTTGGATAAGCACAGTGTTGCGGTTTGGAGGATGCATGGGTGTGGGATCGAGACGATGCCCAGCGATCGCGAGAATCGGCATGTACACCCTGATAGACGCCTTTCCAGGGGCATAAAGATCACCTTACTGCGCGCGGAGAGATCAGATACGCCTCATAATAGTCACCACTATGTAGCATCGCATTGAGTTCGTGACTTCTGAGGGAGACACAGCTGTGCGGCAGTATTGGCATCTTTCACGACGTGTCACGGCACATCTGTGCCGGGTCTTAAGAGCGATCCTCTCGCATTTCGTCCCTGTCGCACGAGTCAGCCTGGCTTGTTGATGCCCTGCCCGTGGTGAAGCATTCTCATGTGCGTGTGCTCTGACCTTGCCAATGTGTTCCCTGAGACCCACTGTTGCATGTGACGCATTGCCGAAGGTCACTTCGCAATTTGGAAGCGCTCCACTCTGAATTGTCTTGGGGGATTAGGCCTAGCAAAGAGCCTCTCCGCGGAATATTTGTGGCTAGCCTACAAACGAGGTTCCTTTTCGGGTACTCTAGTATTTCGAATGCTCTTGCCGTGTGTGAAGGCGCTCATCGTGTCGGTCTGATATACCTGAAGCTCGTGAGCTGTGTTGATATCTAAGGTTTTCAGTGGGGTGAACGCATTGATGCAAAGCAAGAACAAGGCTGGACGGAGCAATGCGCCGAGTAGTCTCCGCGGCGTAACACACAAAGTAACAGAGAGTGTTCGTATTAGATGTCAAGACTCGTGTGATTGGCTCCGGCGCAATTGACCGGCGTTGTTTCAATGAACCTCGAAAGTTGACCTCATGAGTGACGAACCTCACCGGCATCAACATCCAGCATTTTGAATCATGAATTGGAATCTCCGCACCAAGACGGGAGACATCTCCGACGAACTGGTGAATCGTGCGATGGCCTGGCAGAGGACAAAACGTACTGAGGTGACCAGGTCGGGCACTCGGAAGGAAGTTCGCGATCGCTTGAGAATGCATGCTGCTCAGATAGCACGTGGACCTTCTATACAGGTCGATTGCGATATCGCATTATCTTAGTTGCTAATCTACACATTACAGTCAGTGTACATGTATCTCAAAAGTTAAGGTCACACACTGGATTAATCGTCGTTTGAGGGGAACTTGAGTAAGAGTAAGGACCTGAACGATGGCTCGATTTCCCCATTGCTTAGAGTAGACTCTTCTTAGAGGTTCCAAGATGAGCATAAGCCTTTCGAGCTACCTGACTCGAGCGCTGTATGCCAATCGATCCGATTCCTGAGATGACGCATTCTGCTGAGCCCACGATCGGTAATATGCAAAATCTGAGTTCCGTGAGCAGGCGACTGCTGCGTCGTTGCTCCGAGAGAATTCATGCAGTCGGTGTTTACTCGGCTGCACGAGCTGGGCCTGGCCTGAGTGACTGTTGAGTTGGCGTCTCTGCTGTAGACAGCCTGCATTTGTATATATTCTAGACCTTCCTAAATGTGATCAAACGTCGGGCGGACACAGCGAGGTAACGAGTTGGAGGCAACGGCCGCTTATCAAAGCCATTCATATATAGGCAACGCGAAGTGAAGAAACAGCGATTCATAGGCTGGAAAGAATTCCTATCCCCTGTCAACTTTTCCGTTGGCCAAGGTAATCTTCACCGAGACTGTGGGTCGCTAAGGAGGAGCAGCCATATGGTATACGTTCTCCCTGGCATAGCAGACGGGACAAGACTACGCAAAGCTGAGCAGGCTGACGTCAAATAAGAAGTCTTGGGGCCTGCAACCGCTGGCCGTGTCTTGACCAAAGAGGAAACAGCCAGGTGCAAACTGAGGTGTTTGAACGGATTCCCCATGTCATTGTCCCGTCTCTGGTGGCAGACTCCACTGTCACTCGAGTCGTGCGAACGCCGGTTTGTCAGACTCAGCTCATGAAACGTTGTATGTTCATACGCTAAATTCGACAGTCTTCACTGCACGTGGTGTTGAATTGCGGAGAGTCCCACTGTATATGACGTGGAAAGCTGGGTAGAGCGCTGTATTTGAGCTCTGTCTGCAGGAGGATCAGCCTAACGACGCGTTTACAGCCTTCCGGTGGTATGCAGGCTTCCCTTGATGCCGCCCAGTAACCCTCACGCCTACTCTCTTTCCATAGGCTGGGTCAACAGCCGGATCGGCGCTCAATATGCCCCGTTTGTCAGGCCACACACGTCGCCACCAGGTCTAGAAGGAGACATTTCAATAATTTTCATGTCTAGAGGCAAGGGGAAGCCATACGCCATACCAAGGCATCTCCTTAGTCCTAATTTGTATGTAAAATACACGCTGTATTTATGACGGCTCCGATGAGCTTCGATAATCCGTGCGACGCTAGCAGTGCGTTTTGCACCCCTCTTGTAAGCACCGCGATGGCACAAATGTCCTCTCCAATCGCAAAGTAGCATCATCCCGGGCGCATGGGCCAGGGCTGGATTCCCATACCCTTGCTCAAAGGTTTGCTGCAAAATGGCCGATTCTCCGCTACGTGCTATCAATGCCGTTGCATCATGATCAGCAGCCAACCGGAAGCGCTTTCAATGGATTTTTCGCGTCCAGTCTGAGGCGGATTGAAAGTCATTATAAGCACGCTTTGCCTTTAATGGTTCCAGGTTACCTTCTCCCGTGGAAACCGAGCTTGCATCTCCCCAGCCTACTAATCTTGGAAGGGGACACACCCTAACTTTCAAGAATACTAACACCCCACCTCCCTCACCCACCTGTCAATTACTCCACTCCTCTGTTCCATGTCGACTGCGGTACTAGGAATGCAATCCTTGGGCGCTCAACCTCTGCACTTCGAGCTGGACTTCAACATGACGTCCAAAACAGCCTCCATGTACGGCACAACAGATCATTGGGCTCCTGGCTTTCCCGTGGCCAATGCGCGACCCTCTGACCGACAATTCTTATTTCAATCCAACTTCGAACAAACAAACTCAAACGATCACGACTTTTGCAATAAATCTACTGCCGAACCCTTTATCCACGATTTCAAAACACAGTCCAGCAGAAATGCGCCTCTTGGAGTCTCCACAGCAGGCTTGTATTCATCGCCTGCTATGTTTACGGCAAGCAACACCCAGATAGAGCCGTATGGCTCTGCAACGATTTCGCCAATAGACACAAGTTTCGATGTCGACCACGCGTCACCTGGCTCCGACACTAAAATATCGTTCGATAGTCAGATGCGCCATACCGCCCCGTCGAACTATGAAACTTTCATCAACGATACCGACTCTTTATCGTCAAAGCGCCGCTGCGACAGTCTGCAATCCAACTTCGAACCGCACTTGGTATCGACGCCACAAGTGCAAGTAGGACGGAGACGTGGATCAGAGTATGCAGAACCAGGATCCGCGCGAGCCATATACCTTGAGAAGAATCGTAAGGCTGCGAGCAAATGCAGGAACAAACAGAAGAGGCAGCAGGAAGAGTTGGTGGAAACAGCACGGGACGTGGAACGACGAAACAAGATACTCAAAGCCGAAGTTGAGTTACTGAAGAGTGGCATGCGAGACTTGATGGAGCTCGTTGGCCAGCATACGGATTGCCCCGATGCTCGGTTGAAACTATACCTACAGCGCGAGGCAGACCGATTGGCAATTGGAGGCCAGCGAAACGCTCTGCCTTCACCACTGTCAGGAAGTTCCTACTCTGGCCCCGGCTCAGTTGACAAGGTCTCATCTCCGGAAGACGAGTGAACACATGGTTGAAAGCAGGGCAACCTAACACCAAATCCTGCTTCGCACCAACATACAGTACCGGCGCTGCGCATAAGGCCACCGGTCCATACACAGATCGGTTTCTATGCAGCTAGACTGCAATACAATTGCGGCCACGAGCTTGAAGAGAATGCTGTCAATCAGCATTCAAATGCGAGTAGGATCTTGACAGGTGGACAAGAGATAACGATTGAAGGCTCAGCTTCATTGTTATCTGGGAATCACATTTCGATCGACTCAACGAGACCCATGGTGCCATCAACACGAGAGTATGGAGTTTGGGAAACAATTGGCATTGTAGGTCGGCGCAGCGTGGAAAGGAACACATAATTCACAATGTACATACAAAACAGCATCATGCGCGGTGGAATCATAGCCAAATTCTTGTGCAGAGCATATGGGAGGTTCATTTCACGGTAATGAGCGTACTGGTGATGGTCGTGCAGCAAGACGGATCCCTTTAGCAGCATAAACTGTACTGGAACGGTAGCGTAGCAAATGTTATTCCAATTCCATGGTTCACTCAGTGTGTTCCATGGTTGGTGAGGCAGGTGATTTTGCCAACGAACATGGCAGTCACAACCCTAGCTCACCACTTACCAAACTACTCACCCAAGGTTTTCATACACGCTCCCACGACAAGTTCCACTTTCACCATCTTCCTGTCGCCTACCGTTCGCATGCGTAACTGGACCAACCTCACAACGTACCATTGGGTCTGAGCCTTCGACTCACTTGTGCGCGGACTTGGTACCCTACACTGGTCTGCTTCCTTTACCTTTCGGCACAAAGAAGCGCGAACTCTCACCGTTCACCAGCTGCTGCGCTTGCAGAGTATTGAATGCCTCGCTTCAGCGGGTAGCAGGTGAGTCATCTCGCCTGGCATGTCAGGTTGCCTGCTTCGGGTGCAAAAGCAGAGATCTTGTGCGATACCAATAAGCCGTCCCTGACCTAGCGGCTCGCCTCAGCAAAGAGGCTGCATCGTAGGTGGGTACCTTGCTCATATGTTGAGGTTGTTTGCAACCCCCAGGATAGTTTATAAATGAGCTTCGGTTGGCAAACTTTCCCCGCATCCAATCCGCTAAGCGAACGTCTAGACCCACAGGCGCCGCGGACAATATTCTGTGACATGGAGAAGGTATTAGCGAGACAACATTCGCCAATGAGCGCAACTGGAACTAACACCGACGCCGTTGAACGTCATGGATTACCGATCACTCCCACGGACCCAAACAGCCTGGTCGTTGCGGACGGAGATTATTTTCATCCCCACGATTTGTTCGTGCAAGCATATAAAGATCTACTAAGCCTCTTCCGCGGAGGAAAATTGGATCGCTCAACTTTTCGAAAGCGACGATACTCCGAACAGACGACTGACATCGAAGCCAAAGAATGAGATCGACTTGTTCTACCATGTTGCGATAGGCATGTTACTAGGGCTGACATGCCTTCAGGGCCGCCCGGAGCTTATGCATTCTTGAACTGCAACTTTGTCGATGTTGATTTTACAAAGTCGCAATTCGCAACAGTCTCATCGCCAATACTACGCTTTCGCACACTAACATCGACAACTTGGTCTTCGATAGCGTGAGTTGGAGCCGAAATATATTCGATCACACCATCATCAGCGCTGTAGAATCGAGAATGTTGAACTGGACGTACACCACATACTCTGGCATTGTGGTCAAGGACCTGATCGGCAGGTCGAATCTCGGTGCAATCCCCACCAGTTCACCGCTTTCAGCGTGATCTATCTGCGGGATGACGGACGGGATGATGTTGAGGTACAGCAGCTTACGACACAAATGCATGTACTGATGGATTAATAGTGTGTTCCGAGCTTTCGACGATCTGATAGGGCTACATTTCCGGTTGCCTTATCTACACTACGCAGGGAAACATATCAATCATCAACACACCCACTCGAATACTATTGACAATACCCTGCCCCTCTCATATCCACAACCGAAACGGTCTACAGAATCTGCATTTAGGTGATGTTGCGGAGGTATTCGGTGCGAATGGTCTTTCTCCACCAGACGTGGTATTGCACTTGAACATTACTCTGGAAGGTCTGACGAGCTCACATGGTCTGTCTGAAGGCTTTGGGCAAGCAATTTGATTGCCATCTTTCTCACGTACACAGTGACAGCTCCACTTTCCAATGCATCTTCGCCGGACTCAGCTCAGATCATCGCTGCGAACAGCGCCTCCTTCACGACGCACGGGGGTCCACAAGAACAATGCATCTTCTTCACGCATTACTGTTCTATACAATTGATCGCGTTCATGGGTACCTTCAAGCAACAGTTAATATTGTGGGAATTACCAGCCTGCTGTGTGTGATGGCTCAGAAAAGCCATCGCGCTCTCGTGCAAGACCACATCATGTACTAAAAACCCTTCCAGTACCTAACGGGGCCTCTGCTTAATTTGTTCTGTCATCTTTTCCACTGTGGTAGATGGGGCCGTAGCTACGAAGCATCTTATCTCCTGTGAATACAGCGCTGGGGAGAAGTCTGACCGCAGATGTAGCAGGAAATCCACAGGCTACTTCAGTTATGTTTGCAAAGACCTACAAATGCTTCACTTAGCGTATGGAGATTGTAAAACTTTTGCGTTCCGAATCTCTGTACCCTGTCGGTGCTGACAGCGTGATGTAGATGTCCCAATGGACGCGCCCAGTACTCGATGGGAACGAGCTCCTTTGTGGCGATAAACTGTCAAATACGATCAGGCCGCCATACTCAGAAAGAACGGAACTACATAGGAATCTGGCCACGCCTTCCCTGCGCTAATCATCAAGACGGAAGACGAAGGGCGTTCTTTGTAGTGTACAGAGCTAGGAGAACTTCAGTGTGATCAGGAAGAAGCATACGCTGTAGTGTAAGATGCGTGTCAGAGCCTGATGAGTTGCTATTCGAGTGAAGTGGTATCATCTCAGGGTTTGTTCTGGATCACGAGAACATCAAGTTCACATTTTGTAGAAGCATTTGGATAAAATCATTCTTACCGAAGACACGGAAGCATCGGTAATCATGTGTACAGACCCTAGAACTCCTAAAGGATACAGAGAATTACATCGCAGTCGAGTTGCATCTAAAAAAAAAAAAAAAAAAAAAAAAAAAGCACAAAACTCGCTGGAAACTTTTGAACTCTGCCGTCAAGACTGCGGATCGCGCAGCTGCTGCGTTCGGCTTTGCGATGTTATAAGAGCGTGCAATATACAATCACGAGTCAAAAGTCTGGTCGCAGCGGTGCATGGGCAACCCCACCATCATCAACTTTGTGAATTCAAATCACCATAACTCAGTCAATTGTGAATCAAAATAGTTCTTCAAGACATGAAATTAATAAGAAACACTTAATATTTAGTCTGATAACCATTTGCATCCTCTACTGCTTCTAGCCGGTCTGGCATAGAATAAATCAGCTTCCTGATTAGTTTATCTGGGATGGCTAACCAGGCCTCTTTCAGCCCCTCACAGAATCAATCCCACTCCTCCTGAGACTCTCCAAGTAGATCATACTCAGGGTGGAGCTCATGGAGCTTCCTTTTAAGTGCCCACCACATATGTTCGATTGGGTTGAGATCAGGAGAATAGGGAGGGTGTTCAATAGTCCAATTCCATGACACTCTAACCACTCCTTTGTCTTCTTTGCTGTGTGGATCTTTGCGTTATCCTGCATAAACATCTCGCCAGGCTTGTACTGAGGCACAAGACCATCCTCAAGTGATTTATAATAGCTCCATGCTGTGTATCCTTTCCTTGGAGAAGTGTAATCCCGGTCCATGACTATGAGAAGAGACCTCCCAACCCGTCCCCCAGGAGTCACCCAAATTGAACCCCAAACCATTTGAGATTTCTGGCGTGCTGTAGTAACTTCCTCTACTTTGTCGTGATGAAATTTCTCATAAGGATAGTGGAAAACCCATGTAGCAGAGCGTCCAGAACCACGGGCTACAGTACACTCATCACTAAACTTTATAGTCCTCCTCTTGTGATTGAATCCTTTCCATTCTGTAGCATATTTAAGGCGTAATCGGGCCACATTCTGAGTGATCTTAGGACGGCGTATTGATCTGAACTTGTGCAGCCCTTCTGCAGCAAGGGCTTGTTATACAGTACTCTTTGAAGCAGAGGGTGCTGCACCATCAAGCCACAGACCAGCTTCTTGAAGAAGAGACCGGTACTCAATTTTAGGAGTTTTCCTGGCTATCCTGAACAGAAGCCGTTTCTGCCGATGTGATAGAGTAGGTGGGCGGCCTGTACGAGCTTTGCTGGCATTGCTGGCAGTAGCGTTCCATCTCTTGATTGTGCGCTGCACATTGCGTTGTGATGTTTTAAACTGTTCAGCTGCTTCACGTGTCCCTAGCCCACTCTCTACAGCAGCAATTATTCCATCCCAAGTGTGTTCTGATAATTCATGACCGGGCAATCTATCATGATCAATTTGGGAAGAAAAGGCTCTCATTTAGGTAGAATTTTGTAGAGTTGAATTCATGCTACATGTTCTGAAGTTTGTGCGGGCACATGGCCCGAGCGTTGCCGCGACCAGACTTTTGACCTAGTACAGTATATCGAATCAATATATATCGAATCAGAATGTGTTACGGTAAATTGTGAGTGATCAGTACGCGTGTGCGGAAGTATTGAAGGATTGAACTGAGGTTGTATTGAACTAAGCTGTGTGTTTAAATAGTGTGAGGACAGGGAGGTTTGACCATGAGACTGTTGTGTTACTATAATTGTTTAACGGAGTATCATATCGGTCCGTTTATACTCAACCTTAGTGTACTGATCTAACTGTACTGCGACAGTTATTCTTATGGCAGGTGAGGTACGACAGGCAGTAGCACCCTAAACCGTAACAGATCATCATCGTTCGTCCCGTAGAATGGTTGACGGCAGCTGCGTTGAAGAGATGCATGTACTACTACTGTCAGAGTTAGACACAAGTCGTACTTAAATCTCGTGAACTTCCCAGAGCCACTCGACCAGGCTGGCTATACGCTGATCTAGCGCAGCACGATATATCTACAATGCTGTCTTGGTAGAATAAGCGATAGACCGGTACATGCTGAATACCTCCTGGATCAGGGTAGCTATTGTAGACATATGTGAGGATCCACCTCGCCTTCATTGAAGCAAGTCCCAAATTACACGTGGAGTTTTAGTGCATTCTCATGACAAGGACACATGCTCTCGTGACGCAGCAAAATGAAGGCTACAACGTCTTGGCAATGCCCTTGAGCGTTATCGAAATATCCTGAGATGTCTGCCAACGTCGCTGTAGCCCCCACAGTACACTGTTAGTCGGCGAACGATATTGGAAGTAAAAACTGAGTAAATTCCAAGATGATGAGAGTCGCGCATGTATGCGGCAAATTGTTACTTAAGAGACATTAACTCACAAGCTCACTGAACCATCCGATGATCTGAGGTACGATGTCTTCGGGTTTCATTGGAAACGTCTAGAGTCTACGAACCAAGTATGCGCCATGTGTATACTGTCAAGGGGTGGACCCTGTACTGTGGAGGTAGTTGCCACATTGTGTGCATAGAAAATGGGTCGATGCATGCCTCTATTGAGGTTGTAAATCTTTCGGCCGATGGCAATTGGAAGCCTCTAAGCGTGTATTTGCCGTGATGAGATCCATCCACCCTACACAATCTGCGTTCTCGGATTGCGCGACCATCTCTTCTGTTCTGTTACAGGCCTCAGTACCGCAGCACTCAGACAAAGATTCCAACTCTTGACTCAGGCTTACCGTGGCTGATATCGCTGCTGTTGTTGTGACCCAGATACTCGTCGTGAGTTTGCTGCAGTTCAACAGTGCCATGAGCGGACTGGCGCTTCTGATAGAGATTGGTGACTTGGCTTGGGTGGACCCAGTTGAAAGTGATCATGACGAAGAACATCAGGGTAGCGTCGAAAACGTAGAGGTACACCTCGTGGCTAAGCAGGTATCCCGCATTGCCTTGGATGTATTCGATGACTCGGAAAATGCTTCGAATAAGAATCAGCGCGCTCACAGCATATAAAACGTAGAGGTGGCGTTTCCAGGGCAGCTCATGGACAGCTTCGCGTGAGAGAACGGCGGTGATCGGGATGTTGGAGGAATCGAAATCGCTATGGCGGGCTTTGCGGAACAGCGCAGCGGGTGTGTACCGCTTCTTGACGGGTATGTCCTTGATTAGACGGCGATGAAAGTCCCCGGCTACGCAAACGAAGAAGGCGAAGAAGACAAGTTGGACGAAGAGACCGCCAATGATGATCTTCTCGCCAGTTTCCATTGAGTTAAGGGTTCCTCCAGCCATGATACCTCCACCTGAAATGTATGTTAGCTTAGGACAATAGTCCAAACTTTCAGTCCGACTTACCAGAGCCTTGCATCATAAAGCTGAGCACATCACCTGCCACAAACGTCTTCGTGAGCCACTTCTGCCGAACGAGCGAATAACGCTCGCCGTCCACCATGAGAATGACCCGCCCAAGTATGATGTAGATCGAAGCGGCAAACAGCGCGGGGGCGACGAGGATCAGGAGGGATTGCATAATGAAAGGACCGAGAGCCCAAACGTCGTTCTTTGAGAGTACTCGTCCGACAAATCCAATGGTTTCAACTGTTCAGACAGAATCAGCGCATGTCCGTTACCATGGGCGACGCTGTGGTACTTACATGCACCGCCGACAACTAGCGGTATGAAGTACCATGTTCTCTTCTTGATGAGCTGAAAGAGGTGGAGGATGGTTGTAAGGGCAAATAGTACGACAAAGATGATAGCAGCGATCTGGGATGGATGGTATCGATACAGGACATAGGCATTAGGATCATCGAGAGCCGGGCGGGGCTTGTCTTCGGCCATGTCAATTGTCGTTGAAGCGAATGCGTCTGGAGGCCTTCGGGGTCGTGCGTGCGGTTAGACGAGCAGTCGTACGGTGTTGCTGACCGTTCGACAAAGTGGACGATGTCGCAGCCTTATAGCAACCATTGTCGTTCCTTGCCGACAATCTGGAGACCGTATATCGTATACTCTATTCCGCGTACACTTTTGCGCGCTAAAGGCTGATGAGTACAAATGCAGGAAAGTGCATCCGATGTTAGTTGGGTCCAAACCACTTGTCATTGGTGGAAGCGCTCGTCGTAAAGCGTATATGCAGCCGCGTCTTGGCGTCCCCACTTGACGGGAATGTCGCAAATCGTTTCGTACATGAAGAAGGCGTACCCCTCTGACATCCTTTACGGTGTTGCACTGCCCCGACCCGGGGCATGATGCATCTGAGGCTCAACACCAGCTGGGAAGGACATATCTCGCAACTGTTACCCGTTTCGGAGCCTGATTTGGTACCCTCGCTTCAGACTCACCCCTGTCAGATCTTGCCGAGGCATGGGCGACGTTGTCCCCGGGCATGCAGCACTGCAGCTCGGTGGGCCTTCGGTAAACAACAAGCTGTCCTTGACCGAAACAGTGCAGACGGTGACCCTTCTCCGATCCTCAATCGACGGAGAGCTTGCAGGTTTGCATTGAGTACCCCTTGTACCTGAGTCGAGCGATGCAACGTCCGGCAGCCAACAGATCTGATGACGACAAGAACGATCCGATTTTGTCGTGTTGGTTTGTAAGGATGGTACAGGCAGGCTGTGCTCATGGTCCAGTGCTAGGATGATCGAAAGAGACTGGAGTAGAGACAACGCTCCAGGTTCGGGCATTCATGATTCGTCGAGGCCAGTCAAGCCACTTGGCGAGCTCAGGTGTTGCTGCAAGTAGCTGTTCGCAACCTGTGAGAAGCCACTGCGGCCAATTTCCCACCCACCAGACCGGACGAGCCTGAGCTAACAGCGCAGCGAAATAGGCGACGATGATACAGGCGACCGGATTATGGGCCGAGACGAGGTGCATGTAGTGTTCTTGTAACTGAGCAGCCCACCCAAGGATCAGAGAGTACTCATCACTTCGCGCGGACGCATGTCGGAGCCGTATGGAAGTCTTATGAAGTTCGTTGATTTCCGCCAAACAGGTCTCCCGATCTTGCATACTCAACAGGTACCCGGTCAACTCCTCCAAAGCTAGGATCTCTGGAGTCGTATCGTTTTTGCCACGTGCATCGAGAGACTCCGTGTCGTCACCTTCGGCCAGATCGACCAGATGGGAGAAGACACTGGTATCTTTGATCTGTAACCAGAACGGCATGACTACCATTTTGATTCCAGCTAGAAGTCGAAAGCAGTGATGAATTCCGTCAATTGGATCTTCTGGCTTTTCCAATTGCGCAGAGCCGAGGTTGTACGTGAACAGCATCGTAGAAGTCATGAACATGGGAATAGCTCTCTCGATGCTGGGCGCCTCAAGATGTTTTCTGTAGATAGCTAATCCGCGGGAGATGTGTGAGTCGGCCTGCAGAAGAAGACTTTGTCGATCTGAGCTAGGGACAGTGAGCGCTTTGTGCACAGCGGAAAGAGCCAAGTAGCCGTGAAGGAGAGGGGGATGCTGCAATGCGATTTCGGTGCATTCGTCGCGCCAAAGACTGTCTTCCTTGATAGAGATCTGGTAGGGACGCAAAGACTGATAGCATTTCGACATCCAATGATGCAACAAACAAAGGTCCGGTATTGAAAGATCAGCATCGCTCGGTTCAGAGTTGTCAGGACTATTGATGGGTCGCTGCTCCACAATCAACGGGGACAAGTGACTACTGCCATTCGATTGGGAAGGGGATGCTGAGTATTGATTTTGGATGACCGGCCAGTTGCAATGAATGTCCAGTCTTACGCAGTTCCCGCATCGTGGGCGAGCCTCATTACACTGAACATTCGATTAGCATGCGAGATATTGTAAGTCGTGATGTTGTCTGCTAGATGCGATCTCGGCAAATCTTACAACATGTGAAGGATTTCGACAAAGCCTTTTGTTATGCCCTGATTGGTTAGATTGGGTCCGGTGGACCTACCTTTGTATGACGTTGTTTACATTGGAAACATCCTCTCCGGCTTTTCGTATGTGATTTGCGTTTTGCGACGCGATTCTCTGCTTCGGTCATCCTGGACAACCATCTGCGTAAGATACATAAAGTGCGCGATGAAGTTGATGCAGGTGAAAGAGGGATGCACCTGTGACACTACGGAAACTGCTAGGTTAGTCAGCAACGCTAGCCCAAGCCGAGCCCGGTTCCGGACGAATCCTTGCGCGATCGACGCCGGACCACCGAAGGCGTCTCGTTTTCTTTTTGGAGGATCATTGATTGATTGGTTTCTCTCGCTCTAGTCAAACCCAAAACCTTTCGACTTTTAATTGCAGCACTTTGAGCACAAGTCGCCGAGGTTGTGGTTGTGTTCAAAGGAGGGGCATCTCTCTCCAGGACCCTCCGTTCGTCCTTCAGTTCACTTATCTTCCACCTCTATAACCCGGACGCTGGCGAGACGTCATTATAGCAGTGACATTCCATATCAATCCGACTCGTACAACGCTTCCTTTGGCCACCTCATTTCCGAGCATTCTCTCAATTCCAGCCCCTCATCTCGTGGTTGGCATCCGCATTTCGCCATCCAATGTTCTCTCTACTCATCTGCTCCAGCGCGCTCAGCTTTTTCCGTCCACTGGCCAGTTGCGACGCATCTGCGGTCGGCTTCGGTGATGGTTTTCTCTGCTGGCTTGTTAGGCGTTTGTCCAAAGCGGCCTGCTGCTTAGCGCGCATCTTATCAACGTCAGCACAAGATTTGACAACAGATTGAGTCTGTGCAGTCCTTACCTCTGCTTGAGCTTGCGCTCGCTCTTCAGGGCTTACATAAGGCTCCGGCGACATTGTGCGAGGCTGAGACTGTCCGGCGCCCATTGCGATTGTGAATGTTTGATTGAGGAAGATCGGATCGTGAGAAGAGGCGGAAAGTCAAAGAGTGTTAGAATTGATAGACTTGAGAGGATTGAAACGAATGTGGCTTTAGGTATACAACTTCCTCTTTCGAGGCTCAGGAGTTCGTTGTTATATGGAGATATCACCGCAAGGCCACCAACATGGTCAATGCACCAGGCACCGACGCTAACTTACGGCGCAGACAAGCGAGTAGATTGTTCAATACGGACAACGAACAAGAGTTGTATTGCAACAAAAGCTACGATCTAATGAGACTAAATTGCGCACAGAGTCGCACCATCCCGAGTTGTAACACATTTCCAGTCTCTTCAACCTCCGGTCCATGACTCGTGCGACGTGCTCGGGTACTACACTTGAGGCTGAGCAGCATCCACCTTCATCGGTGGTAGTGTACCGAGCTTCTCCATCTCTTGGAACATCTCAAATATGCTTTCCAAAGTGTCAACAAATCCGCAGAATCCATAGCTCCTAGCCTTATTCATCGATGGAGTGCCGATGGGCAGATATGCAAAGTCTCCCATAAAGAAGTCTTTCAGGTCACCGGCCCACGGGTTCTCCGTCACATTTCCATCCGACTTCGCCATGATCTCTTCCCAGACCTCTTTGCTTGATGAATCAGACGCCCACTGTGCGAGTGTGAAGCTGTTGCGAAGCTTCGTAGGTGGTCTGTATCCAAGAGGGGCTTCCTTGCCGCCTGTAAATATCGTAGTTTGCAGCTTGCTTTCGTCAAGCTCTGGGCCCTGTACCTCGAACACTCCATACCACTGGGCCAATTCGTGGAAGAAGCGATCCCAGCTCAAGAGGCCGCCATCCTGAGCGTTGAATGACTGGTTTGCGCACTTCTCCCCCAGCACAGCCCACTCACTCAAGTATCCGGTCAGCCTGGCAGTGGAGTGGGCGGCTTCGAACTGCCAGGATGTGAAGTCAGCCCCAAACTTCAGTGGCTCACCTTTGTTGGCCTGGATGGCGGTATAGATGCCAAAACTGAAAAAGGTGTTCATGGATGCGTGCTCAGTAGCACCAAGGATGGCAAATGGATAGATTATGTTCCACTTCGTCTTGGGATGCTCGTCACAAAAGGCTCGAAGCGCGTCTTCTTGAGGGTAATAGAAGGTTAGCGAAAGATGCCTCGGTTGTGGGTCTGACTCAACAATCGATGTGCGCACACGGCCAATGTGGACACCGTTGTTCTTGTTGGAAGGAGGTTCTGGCGGATACCGACTACCACACTTACTAGCGTCTGTTTATTTGAGCAACTTCCATAGCTGAGATGAATCGATAACTCTTACACCCAACAGTTCTTTCCACCTGTCTGCAGGAGGATGCGCCTGGGCTTGGTGCCGGTAATGGGCAGGGAACCAAGGAAGTTTTGAAAGGCGGCACGTTAACTTTCACAAATTCCTCTGTCGTATTAGGATCCATTGCCGAACCAGACTTGGGCGACAAGTACGCGTAGTAGAAGACGTAGTCAGCCGCAACATCAGCTTTGCGGAGAGCTTGAGCGATGTCCTCAGCAGAAGAGGTCATGTCAACGAAGACGTGTTGGATGCAAGATCGTTGCTCTTCTGGAAGCAAGGACAGCAACTTCTTTGACAATGGGCTTCGTGAGGCTGCGTAGACCTTGGACCATCGTTCTGGAGAATCCAATAGTGCTCTGATTGTGCGGAAGCCTGAGATGCCGGTTGCTCCAATCACCAAGGCTTTCAAGTCCCTGAGAGAAGGATCAAAAAAGGGTAGATTGCGGGAGATGCCAGATTGGCGAAGAGGATATCGTGAGGAGCTCATTGCGCAAGATGGATGCAAAAGAAAAGTTAAAAAAATGCTTGATTGATGGGGTTGAAGACGTGGCTAATCTCGCTACTTGTACTGTGCACCCGGCGCAGCATCATGTGATAGTGTGACAGCAATGGTATGAAAGAAAAAGGTGGTTGCACTCGAAATCATGTCGGGGCCTGAAGAAAGGAAAAAATTGGAAGGCTTCCCGGGTAACGTTGAGCCCTGAAGAAAGCATCCTTGACTCTTCTTCTGTCTAAATTGGATCTTTTGGGTGAATATTTAGACGGACTGACGCTCACGATATTGAGCATCTGTCGCAATGTCGTACGGTGAAGGTTATTGTTGTATGGGCTTCAAGATGCCCACGCAACTACTACTGGATGTTAAGGAACACCATGGAAAGTAGGGCCTCGACTTCATGTTCAAGCTCCGCGACGAATATGCCATTAAAGAGGTCTTGCAATACCATGGCATAGGTGCTAAGTCTGCCTTCTGCTTGCTGAGCATCTGCTTGCAGAGGCAGAGCTTCGCTGTCGACACGCACATCTACAGGATTATGGGCTTGTGGGGCTGGAGACCAAGAGACGCAAGCCGAGAGAAGGCTCAGACCGATTTGTATGTGTCACGGTTGAAGTGTCTGCTTGCAGTCGGGTGCATAGGCGCTTATCTGGTCATTGGTTGCTACGTCACACAACTACATGTTGACAGCTACACAACACCAACGTAGACATTTTCTTATGTATAGCTCCCCTCCGTAGCATGTAGAACAATCAGTTCATTCCGTCAATATCTTCCCACACGTGTACTGTCTACGCTGCCCGACAGTATGCGAAGATCCCAGGCGAGCTCAAGTTTCCACTACACTACCTATTCATTGTGCATGGGAGTGAGTGTCCGGTGTATCGTGGTAATGGTGACACTTCAGCCAAGTGCGAGTTTGAGCAACAATACAGTAAACTTGAAGGTCAGGATACGTAGTTTTTTTGCAATCTTTAATCAAACGTTTGACATGCTCCAAGCACAGAGCTCAGTGATCGACCTCTAGTGACATACAAAATATGATGCCCAGCCTTTACTGTTCCATAATGTTCCACAGGGTTCCATAATGTTCCATAGGGTTCCATAAGGTTCCATGGGGTTCCATGAGGTTCCATAAGGTTCCTGTTACAAACACGTACAGAAGAGAAGGAACTATTGGACCTGGGGACAGCAGTTATTGAACGTAGGGAGAACGGCCGTGTTACGATTTGTGCCTTAAGCAAAGCTTGTAGACACTAGTCGATTGGTTCTTGGGGATGAGCAGAGGTACAGAAAGCCATAGGGGTTGACAGTCACCTAAGCAGAGCTCGGGTGGTCAGGGGTAGACTATCCGGGCGGGTTGTAATAACCGTTGTAATAGTCAGGTAGTCATCTAGTCAAAGACCATGGCGACTGGTTGCAATGAGTAGTACAGAGTATACTGTCTAGCTCAAGAGCAAGTGAGATTCCAATAACAAAGTTGATTGATGAGGTTGAACACAATGCCATAAGGGCAGCATGTCTACTTGCTATATACATGAGCAGAGGATTGCTCAGATTGCTTGGATTGCTCGGTACTGAGTATACTGATCGTACCAAGTATACTGATTGTGCTGAGTATACTGACCGTGCTGAGTATACTGACCGTGCTGAGTATACTGACCGTGCTGAGTATACTGACCGTGCCAAGTATACTGTCCGTGCCAAGTATACTGACCATGCCAAGTATACCAATCGTACCAGGTATACTGCTTGTGTTGAGTATACTGACCATGCCAAGTATACTAATTGTACCAAGTATACGTGCCAAGTATACCAATCGTACCAAGTATACTGCTTGTGCCGAGTGTTGCTGACGCGGCCCACTGCTTGGGTCAATCAATACTACAGTTCCTTGGCTTCTCTCGTATTGTTGTGTAGTCCTGTTTGTTCAGTGTTGTTGCAGGTTGCCCTTTGATTGTAACAGGCCGTCAGAGAAGCCGCGCCCGTTGTACAAGCTACCCCACAGCCACGTGAGTACACTAAAACAATACAAGTAGTCTAGCATCCTATGGGATGGAAGCAAGCAAGTCATGGGATTCCCACACAGTCTCACATATCCCATGGGACTTTGTGTAAGGGTATTGTAACGCCTACGACCAAAAGCACCCCAATAGTGGTGTGATTCCTGCAGGTTGCCGCACACCGCTCCTTTTTGGTTGCAAACTGCATCCTTGTCACCTGGACAAGGGTAGTTCCGATTCCCCTCCGAACTGTGTACTTAATCAGTTTGGCACAGTTGTTAGATAGAGTAGTTTTTCTGTATCCTTTTGTACAAGACCTATAGGTGTAGGGAATTCAATCCTAGTGTTCTCAACGTCC